GGTACTGTCAGCGTGGTATGGAAACCACTAAGAACACTCTCTGTCCTGGTATTTTAAACAAACCTATTGAGTTACATCAAGAGCTGTAACTCATGCAATTCTCAAGGCCAGTAGCTGGATTCTACAAAGAACTAAGATTTTCAGAATGGTTATTATTAACGTACAGTGTAAGACTTAAAACTGAGCTCTGGGTTTTAACGATCAATTTGATTCAACTGATTAATTTAATAAGGCCATAGCATTTATAAAATACAAGCACATCTTTACTTCAGAGTTTGTGAATTCCTGTTCTCCAATTAACACAACATATGTATCTTTCTGGTGATCCAGCACTTTATTTTTTAACGGGTTCCCTACAACTGATGCTAAACCTATATCTTCTGGCTAACTGATTAAACAAAGTTAAGAAGGCAAATTAATAAACACAGATGCTTATAATAAGCACAAATAAGATATACATATTTATTGGCATAATTTCAGCTAATGGTTATTTTTCTGACTTTCTGCTCAATAAAAAAAACGTACAGGTGCATATGAAGCAAAAGAGACACGGAACAGAGAAAACATGTTTGACATGCAGCCAGTCCTGAAGGTTTAGCTGGAGGCTATTTAGGCATACTGTATGCTACTAACACACCATTTTGCATTGTTTATATTTTCCTTTTAACACAAGAACCGCTGCAAATTATTAATTACACTGGGCAAAACTGCAGACATGTGTATATAGAGGCGATGACACTACAACAAACCTTATGTTCGCTGTTTTGTTCATGGCAAGAAGAAATCAGGAAGCTATTGCTGTACTGCTGGGCAACTGCATACTTCAAATCCCCAAGAACAAAGGCAGTACAAAGAATAAATGAAATGGGTTTACATCACTTTCCTGTTCAATTCAGTGAGCTCCACTACTGTAACAAAACTGTGTTTGATAAGAACAGGATGTTAGCTGCTATCAGAGCTGATGTACACTGCTGCCTACTGTACCCTCAAGATAAAGCAACTGAGCAACTAAAACACCCAGCAAACTAGAACAGGACTAGTCAATAAAATACCCATTATAGAACATTCCATCCCCTGTACCACAAGAAACAGTTTTGGTCCATTAACATATTCTGGACTGGTATTCTATGGGATATATAGCAATACACAACTTGCTTGTCTGTTCATGTTGACAGATAATTATTTTTTGATAATGTTGATAGTCAGTGTTCCGACTTGATTGAAAAATCACAGCAATGCCAATATATCTTTGTTCTGCTACTGCAAAACTAGACATTTTGAACATTGCCAACAGCGCGTGCCAACTAACAATTCATTGCTTACTTATACTGCCTTGTAGAAAATGAAAGTATATTTTTCCAAATAAGGAAAAACAACCTCTAGGGATTTATCCAACAGCTATAGCTATTTAAAAATGGTAAGGGAATCAATAAGAACTTAGACCATATTTGTGACAAACATTAAAAAGGCATTATAAGTACAGTTTCTCAGACAGGAAGGACCTATTCTGAGCTTTTGACTGAGTACACAAAGGCGTGACACAGAGTCACACAGAATTAGCCTCATTTACTTGCAGTGTCAGACCTTTCACATCTGAGGTGTAACCGCCAGTGCACAGTTTAACAGTTGGTTAAACACTGGAGTTTAAACACTCAAACAGCAATAAAGAGACAGAAAGACTGCAGTATTGCAACATGAAGAAGTGGACAACACTAATGTAAGGGCATAACCAAATATATAAACGTTAACAAATACGAAAAATTCAGATGTACATTGAAAAAGTCATAAGAATCTTTTATGAGATTGTGATCTTGGAGCAGGTGTTGGAATTCATCAGGCCACTTAGATCCATGACCATATCCATATCATTTTAAATGAAATTCATTTTCTGCTTCTCACCTTGGTTTAATAACTGCTAGACTAAGTCCATCCTCCTGAAAGAATGGATCTCACTAAAACGGAATAGAGAAAAACTCCATCAATGAATGGTAGATGGTAGATGAGTAAGATGAAGGAGTCCCAACAGTACCCGACAACAGCAAAGCAGTCAATTGAATTGAAGTGTAGATGTATGTCCCTTGAAGTTCACCCTGGCTGGGTCACTTTCACATCTTGCTGGACAAGTGGAAGACATGCTTGTTTGAGTCGAGTGGAACGGAATGCATCTGACCATCAGTTTCTAGAAGTCTTAAATACGAACTGAGCCTACTTTCATGCCTGGCTTCTCACAGGAAATAAGACACACATTCACATCTGCATCCCTGAGATCGAATAAGTTCATGGGAGTGCAAAAATAGGCCCCACCCCCAAGAAATCCTACACCCAACAAGTCTACCAAGTCTGGCTTATTATTCTTGACAGTTTGTAGATGAACTGGGACAAGTGCACTTAAATCAAGAGGAAACTCAATATATGTGGGTCCTGACAAGATCTCTGTGCCACTTCTGTCACAAATTAATTGACCCACCTTTACATGCAGGTTTGCTTCAGGCATAAGCCTAGCAGTGCACAAATGATATCTCTAGCACCCACAAGCAAAGGAGTCTATTATGAAAAAAGGGGGTGTCTATAACTGAGTGCAAGGCAAAAATAATTGTATTTATAAGTTTGCATTTCATGCACAAATCACAAATGGAACTTACTAGAACTTCCAAATATATTATTGTAAGACAGAATACAGTACTGTAATGGCAACACTGCGTGGGAACAGTGTCCATGGCCTTTCCCTCAGAAAATGGGTGCTATATTCTCTTCATCTTGAGCCAAGCTCTGCATAGATACCTGCCACCTCACACTGAGAGAAGAAAACCTGGCCCAAACCTGTATTTGTGAGGTTTTTTCTAATAATAACGGTGGTTATAATTGTTGACACTTTGTAATTTAACATGTTTGAAAGTCAGTGCATACACTTCTATAATTTACTAAAGGCAAGTTTAGAAGAAATAAATATCATGTCCACACTTTGCAGCATGGGTTAATTTAAGAACTCAAAGCACCTATTTCATAAACCAGGTTACAAAAACCTGTTAGTTTCTTCCAACAGTCAAGGTAAATTTAGTGAGTTTGTTGGAGAACAGGCTTGATCAGTGGTTCACACAAGCGTAGTACAATATCCCTGGGCAAAGTTTTCAACGGTTAAACTTAAAAAGAAATGCCCCTTAGGTTTGAAAACATATTTTAGTGAAGTTCTGTATAAGACAAACACGCACAAAAAATGCTTTTGCAAACAAGCAGGAGAGAATATCAAGTGTAGCGGCGAGGCTTAATAATAAGAAAGAATTAAGTGTTCTGAGCTTTCCCAAATGGTCCCATCTCTGTTCATCTCTGTGGTGCAGCCACAGAGAAACTATTCATGCAGGCTGATTTAAGGTT